TAAGATAGAATACTAATTTCAACTGAAATTGTCCACCCAAGTTTTACGTTTTAATTACCGGTTTATGTAGTATTATATAGATAGACATTATAAATTACACGTAGTCATCCAATTACGATGATCATCAAAAGGACATAATGACTAGAGATAGAATACAATATGAAATATAACAGAAAACAATGTATCATACAATAATTCAATTTGATAAATAAATCATTTAAATATGTTGTATTTGTCACAAATTGATCTTAGTTGTGATATCAAAAAAATAAGCAGACTTCGATTATTAATCTTCCATGAAACTACCTCGTAGTAAGTGCCTATGTCCTGTCTACGGACTAATGCATGATCTTTAGATCTAGCAGTGAACGCTTAACGATTGTGACTAATAGATTAACGTCTTTAAAGTCTAGTGTTCGATCCCAGATGGAGTTCTAAGTGATCACAGATAAGAAATTTTATGCTAGGACAAAATAGTAAACCTGTAAATTCTAATTTACAATGGTTTGTTGACTAAGATCCACTAGCAATGCAAACAACCGCAAACATTAGAAAAACTTAGTTTGGGACAGTTTACAACAACAAAGGCAGTCTCTTATTTTAGGTGATTGAACCCAAGAATTTCAAACGTAGAGAAGCAACCATAATCTCTATTCCTAAAGTATTGGTCATTTTTAAGTTTAATCGATTTACCAGTTTCGTACATAAACAACACAGTTTTATTTGTGTATTACAAGGACGCTTTCACAGTTGAAACCACGAGTTTATCTAAACTAGACCGTCAGTAAAAACCTGGAAGCACTGGATGGCCGTTTCGTCCTGGTAGTATGGGACTTCTCAACAGTGCGCCTCCACGATCCCGCACACAGGACTCTAACCTAGTACCTATGGTCTCGTGCACGAACGCTTTACATTCAGACCACTGAGATATCATTCAACGGTGTTAATGTCTACGTTTACTCAGCCCATGATCTTGTGGAACCCTTCATCAATTGTTTGAAATGGATAACTATCTGACACCCAACACGGATTGGGCTCCACTTGTCACGACTTCTAACTAGAACATCAGGAATGACATCTCAAAGCTAGTCACTAGTGAACAGGTAATTGTTTTCAGTATGAGAATTTGTGGAGATTACAGTATTTGCATAGTTATACACCTCAGGTAATAAATGAAGGGTTCCACAAGACCATGGATTGATTGGAGTTAGATAACAATACCGTTGGATGTCAGTCCAGTGGTCTATATATCAAACGTTCACACGCAAGACCGTAAGTTTTGAGTCCAAGTTCTGTATGTGGGATCGTGGACACGCACTGTTGAGAAGTCCCATACTACTAGGACGAAATAGCCGTCCAGTGCTTTCAGGTTTTCAACTGTGAAAACACTACAATCTCTATAAATTCCCACAAGTTCATCTAAAAATTTCATTTTTTTTTCTAAAAAATTATATAGAAAAAAAACCATCAAAGTAAACAAAACAATCCAAACGGAAAACTTCAACCATAAACTCAATTCATTGAAAATTAACCTTTAAAATTTATCTGTAGCCAACTCTAACATCAAAACTAACGAAGTTGGTCTCAAAAACTTCAGTAGTAATCAGGGCCAAATGTTGTCAATAAATTTCATATATATAAAGTTTGTGTATAAAAAAATATGATCAGTGAAATACAAGATATAAAAGTTTACGCTTCAATTATGTTATGATATGAAATAAGAGAAATAAAGTACTGTTATTGATCTGTATATTTAAATGGAGTTAACTAACAAGTTAATTTCAGTTGAAATAGAATTATGTCCTGACAACTCTATTGCTAAGGTAATGGAATGTAAACTATTTTTTTAATGCTGACTGACTAAGGGAGAAAACAATGTAAAAACATGAAATGGGACAAGAAGAAATTGATATAAATCTAAGAAAGTACGCTTAAAACTTCTGAACATTGATAAACAAGAGGGATCTGATGCAGATGTGAAGGCATGGATTGGTAAAACGAGAGCGAAATTCCTACAATTCAAGAACATATCGAATTTAAAATAACCATTAGCCAATATCAAAGTCAGAATCTTCAATCTGAACGTCAAGATAGTCCTACTGTACAAATCTGAAACTTGGAGAACTACAACTGCCATCAAAATGTACAAGTATTTATAAACAATTGTCTACGTAAGATACTACATATCCGTTCAACAAATACCATCAACAACAACTTATTATTACAGAGAACAAACCAACTTCCAGCTGAGGAGGAAATAAAGAAAAGACGTTGAAGGTGTATGGGACATACATTGTAGAAACCATCACGAAGCAAGCACTAACTCGGAATCTTGAAGGTAAAAGTGAAAGAGGAAGACCAAATAACATATTGCGTCGGGGATAGGAGACAGACATCAAAAGAATGAATAACTCTTGGAAATAACTGGAAAGGATTGTCCAGGACAGAGTACGATAGAGAATCCTGATTGGTGGTAACCTATGCTCCACAAGGGATAAAAAGGGTAAGTTTGGAAATCCTTCATATATATTACGTTTACAGGTCTTAATCAATCACTATGGGACTTGTTACATTAGATTATATTCGGGTATAAATTGCACACAAATATTTCACATAAAAAGAGGATTTTTGATAAGAATCAGTAACCAAGTTTGGACTTGGTAAGCCTATTAATCGTCTTCAGATTAAATAATAAATTGCATTGACAAGAGTTTAACATAGTACAAAGGAACAAAGCCGAATGTCTGATTATGTCAATGTCATGGTGTAGTTTCGTTTAAAGTAGTTCGAAAAATGTACTTTCCAACTATAAGGAAAGGTAAACAGTTGAAGTTTTTCATATATCATGTTAAATTCTACTGTGAACAATAAAAATGGAAAGCCTGACTATCCATTCAAATTGAACTGTTTATTCAAACAACAACATATTTTATTCTCCCAGTTTCTTACACAACATTAGCACGAATTTAAGCTTTACTCCTTGTAAGATAGTGGTTGGAGGTAGCTGACAGGAAACTCTGACTGACCTAAGTTTCATGCTATTTAGGACTCGTTAGTAAGTTGTACCTGTAATATTAACGGAATTAATGGTTTGTGGAGGATTAGATCATGGTCATCCAGCTGATCACAGTGACGATGAGGAAATAACTACAGAATTTATTCAGTTCGAATAAAGGTTAAACCATAAATGATAAATAATAATAATTATTATTATTTCATCAAATTTATGTGATACTTTTAAAGAAATCGATTACTTCGCATTTGGCAAATGGTTGCTCTCAGATTGTCAATATTGAACACTGACAAGCAGCCACCCACGCTTAAATCAATGACCCTACTAATACTACTAATACAAATACTGCTAGCACAACTACTATTAGTGGTATCAATTAGATAATGAAAAAGAAAATTAAATCATATCACAAGAAGAAAAAAAGTTTAAACAGAAAAGCATTCAGCCTCATCATTATCTTCTGTTCGTCAGTTCTTTTTATTTCATTTGATTCATCTAATTGTGCCGAGTCGTCGTTTTTGCGACGTCACATAAACACAGGAACAGGACAGACAGATGAATATATAAAAACCTATTGCTCATTCTCTGATAAAGAGCAATCATTTGATACTGACGACTAGAACGATGGTAAAAGTGTTGAGTCGATTCAGATGATAAACACACACATGTGTGAACCGAGGGCCCTACAATTGAATTATATTTACATAACGTGTCTGCTAAGAGTACTACTAATTATGTTGATCAGTGTTTCATTTCAACCGGAGAATGCAATGCATTCAAACGCAGAGACATTGATAAATGATGATTATTATCAGAATTTATATTTAAACACTAATGAGTTATGAATAACTTATGCTTGAATAAATGCATGCTTTAAAAAAAACACGAACGAATGTTTTGTTTTGAGCAGAGCCTACAGAAAGTACACATTTCCATTGTGATACAAATATTCGTAGCTTTTTGCAAGAGAACCATAACTGAAAATTATGCCTTATATAATCTCTTCTTGAATGTAACCAACAGTTGTCATGTAGGTTCTAGCATCATGGGAAGCATCATAGTTTCCTCTAAGATTATGGAAATCCCTCACTGATAAATGCCAATCTAGCTCAGTGGTTGACAGGTTCAGCGTTCGCATGCTAAACCTAAGATCTTGGGCTTGATCCTTGACCATGGGGTCGTGGATGTCAACTGACACTGAGCAGTCCCATATTAGAACATAACAATTGTTCAATGTTTACAGATTCTTAATGGTTGTTTAACTTAGATTGGTTCGTGATCTTGGATAACATTCAATAATCCTCACAAATCACCTATACTATTTTAAACAATAGAACACATAATTGTCATACCTCAATAATTACAATCTCGACATTAAAAAAAGGCCTTACAATTATGCAAAAATCAATAAAACTAAGCAACATATAAGTGATGGTTAATATTTAGAAAAATGAAAAAGTATCGCGTATATATATGTAGGTAATCACTGAGACTATTTAATCGATAAAAGGATTCATTATAGAAGTTGTAACTGAACTAATACAACTATAATTGCTAAAATCTTAATGATTGAGACATCTGATATATTATGAAAATATCAATTGTATCATTATAGTAGATATTCATTCTAACCAATAAATGACCTTAGGGTTACGCCTATTCACTACAACAACAAAGCCAAATATTGAAAATCCGCCTTTTACATTTGACTTTTTTAAAAAAAAAATAAATATTGCATATGTATATATGTGTATACACATATTTATATACATAATTTGTGATTACAGTAAGAATATATACAAGTGGTTTGTCTGTTTCCTTACTGGATTACAAACAGATAAGCAACTGAGGGGGTAGTGGAGTGAGGCAAATCAATGAGAAGAAACAAAATTCCTCTATAGGGAAGAGAAAAAACAATAACAGAACCATGCTTACAATATATATACTCCAATAATGCTAACTATACAACAACTACTATCATTGGTAGTAGTAGTAACAAGAAGAAAACATCACGCGTGCAAATCTCCTTTTAGTTGTATATTTCTAATGAGATAAAATAACACAAGCTATGAATCTGTTTAATGTATGTAAGACTAATTTTATAGATAATGATAAAAGCTTAAATGATTATGTAATTATTGTTATTACTATCTATGTGCATTAATCGAAATCTTGGCGACGATCTGTAACAATGACAAGAAATCTATCAAATGAGGCTATTGGTGTACTCTACAAACTGGTGATTTCGATAGCACCATCTAGAATTCACAGTAATAATAATGATAAAATAACAATAATAATAATAATAATATCTTGTGATCATTTGAACGATCCTGTTGCTAATATTTTTTTGCTGAAATTCGATCAGTCTTGGTTGGCATCAACTCTGGAATGCAGGTATATCCAGCTGACGAGTTTCGAATGAGACGAAACGGGAGTGTTAGATTACACACCCTATCTATTCTATATCAATAATAATAGTACGTTAGAAGTGATATGTGTTGTGTAAGTGAAGCAGAGTGATATTAGTTGGATACACCAGTTGTATTAAACAATGTCATTTCACATACATAAAAATCCGTACTAAATAATACAAAAGATGTATACACAAAAAGTTTGATGTATTTTGCTCAGATTCATTAGGTCTGTGTCCTGACCATTAGTGGGATTTAGTTAAAAAGGACTGGTTTGGCTTCCCTATGGTGAGGTCGTGGATGCGCACTTTCCACTCGTACGTTCCAAACTAGGATGAAAGAGCAGTACAGTGCTTATTGGTCTTCAATGATTATCCTGTCAATATCAGTTCGTGATGTGATTAAAGAAAAAAGAGCAATAGCATAATATAGGGATGAGCTTAAAACAACTAATAACCAATCTTCAATCAGTTATTAGATAGTCGGTAAACCACTCTTTGTAAGTAAATAGTTTATCGAAAAGCGAACAATAATATTACAAAGTATAAATAGATTTTACGGAATTAGTAAATCTGCCAAAGTCTTCTACGAATCACTACACTATATATATTAGTCCTAAAAATAAACAATGGTATGTGAATTTGTCTACTCGTTTATTGACTACATGTCTGTCTTCTCAAACCCTTATAAAGGGATCAAGTAGATTGTTAGAATCCCCCCATATGGTTCATTGTTCGGGTTAGAATAAACAGTCTCAGGCTACAGTTTCCATCACAAACTGACATTAGCTATGATGGAAATGTGCTCTGTGATCGTATGTATGGATGAATGAATTTCGGACGAAAATCCAAGAGTTGCTAACTGATTAGTTCGTTCATAAAATATGATCTCAATAAGTTATTATCTGTTTTAGAATTAAGGGCTTGGAGTCAGGATGGCACGACGACCTACAGAAACAGAATTGATCATTTGACATGTTTTACATTATCATTTCATTCTAAGGTGGCATAAATTAATTTGCACAATCATGTTAACACTTTCAGCACGTATTACTACTTATTATTATACAGGATATTTAGTTTTTACGCTAGAACCAGAGAGCCTGAATTATTGATTCGGATAGGCTGTACAGAACATTTCTGCCAGAGAAAACTCAACAAATAACTTGACAATAAAATAACATATTATACAATGAAAATGATGGGAAAATATTATATAAGTGACCATTTGTATAGAATAGTTAGTCATACATTATTTCACATCACGGGTTAGATCTCATCAGCTGACCGATCATTATACTAGTTTAAGAGAGAGAAGAACAACTAGAAAACTAGAGTATAAATCACTGACTTATTTGTTTTACTTACAAACATGCGAATGTTGTAATAGCTGTAATACTTGGGAACAATTTTACAGATTATTATTATTATATACCTTTGGAGAACCATTATTTATGGATGATCCAATCAAACTTCATATAGTTGTTGGATTTTTGAGCATAATTCATTTACCCATAATATGGGCTAAGTAACATATTGACATTATAGATGATGTCAGTTTGTGATGAAAATTTCTACTTTAATTCTTTGACTTAATTTCTCTAACTAATTAATTCATAGTCTTATTTTGACCCTAGTAAGTAGTTGAAATTTTCCAAGGTCACTTTAGTATCGCCCAAAGGTCATCTGTACATTACAGCCTAGAGAAAGCTATCTGCTTGTTAATTTCAATTTCTGATTGGACACTAGGTTGGATGTAGATCCAGGGTTGATAGGCGTTAAGATTTTGTTTTTTATTCATTCGTAGAGTAAATTCAAAGGGCCGCAGATGATATAGAGAGGACTAACCATTAAGTGAACACAGTAATTATATGCTGCCATATGATAAGTAAAATCAACTACGCAGACAAAACATAATAAATTTGTTGTTTTTTTGGATAAGATAAATATACCATATATATCTACCAATCCCACACTAAACTTGATAATAAGTCAGTCGTTCTCATCTTAAGGCTTGACACAAATATGTCTTAGCCAAAAATTTCTTACAGCATAAGTACAGTGAGATAAATCTAAACTTGAGTAGTTAATAAGTTGAAATAATCGTAGAAGAGATGATAATGAGAAAGACTGAACATTGAAAATGTTTTCCGAAAAGATGAAATAAAAAAGATAATGAAATAGTAGTGAAGTCAAGATTGAAAACATTATCTCCATTGTAAATAATTCTAAGCCATATAGCCAACGGTCTCCAACCATTGATCGCAGTTATTTCATGGACCTTATTAACCAAATAATCTACATTTAACAACATGGCTCAGACCGACGGTCAGTGAATGACTTCATAAATTGAGACCATATTTTAGTTCGGTCGCCTATAGCTTTGCTACAACAGAATCCTAATACAAGCTCCAATAAGGAAGGTCGAGATATTGAGTAGCTTTGCAAACATATTACTTGCCCGAACCACCTCAGTAGACGAAGATTTGCATGTCCGTTAAATTTATTTAGTATTCTGTGTCTAAAGTTGGCACTGTTGATTCGATCGTTTCATGGCACATACAATGAGTCATTAGAAGAGACCTGTGATTAAAAAGCAGCAACTTACACATTTTTTCTACCTTTGTAGGTAATTGCACAGCTATAGAGTAAAATGTAGTGCAGTATCAATATGACTCGCATTGAACTTATCACAACAATAGTAATAGCCATTATTATTATTAACACTATTATTATTATTATAGGCAAAGATGGATGACGGCTAGCATTGGAATTTACGGAGCGAGTTTCGTCCTATTCGGGACTCGTCATCTGGGTGTGCCTGCATCCCAGAGTTTGTGATCACTCGGGGGCTCGAACCCAGTACCGTTCTATTCAAACGCTACCACGTTATCCACTTAGCCACTGAGTCCTGATAGCCACCTGCTTGTGAAATGAGGTGAAGTTTAAATCCGCTTGGTTTAGCTTGCTTGTATCTTCCCGGAGTGAGCACCAACTCTGGGATGCAGGCACATCCAGCTGACCGGTTCCAAATAAGACGAAATGAGCATCATGGATTCCACTATTAGCCACCACCTGTCTTTGCTCATACAGATTTTGACTTAAGGCAATATCGAGAGAATCCGCACAAGATACACATGTGCTAACAAGAGATTAATCAACTGCAGTCCTAAATAACAATAGGAAGATACAAGCAAACAAAACCATGTGAATTTATTAATACTATTATTACTATTTATTATTCAGGGGTTAGTAATATGTAGGTGGATCGTATTCCTTACAGATTGGAATGCCACAAAAATAAGGAAGTATCGGACGATTGTTTTACCCTAATATGCATTGGAATACTCTTCAGCAGTGTATACATCCATAAAATCATCACGGTCGGACCTATGACCATCAAGTCTCGCAGGTTCGACTCCTGGACAGGTAAAAATCCATTAGTACAATTTCAACTGTGATCAATTTGCGACGGCGTTTGTTGAATCGATAAAGTAAACACTATCACTTAACATTCAACTCTATAGAATGGTAAATGTTTTATATTCAAACACATTTTATCCATTAACAGCCATACATAGTCTGAAGAGATCAAAAAATGGAATCCCATAAAAATGGAGGAAAACACACATTGGCCAGTTCAATGTTTAGTTTACCAATTAACGCTATTATTACTACTTGTGTAATATAAATTAATAGCTTTCAGTCTCTCTCACACAAGTAACCTGTAAAAATAATAGTAATAATAAACAATTAAGTCCATATATACACACACATCGAAGAATAGTCTAAACGTAAATTGTGGAAATAGGCTTACATAGCGTTCTTACCTTTATACATGAAAAAAAAACAGTATAATTTTATTAGTGACACATCTATAAGCGCAAGCAAAATGTAAGTGTAAATTATGCATATAAATAAACAAATTAAGTTGTACATCATTAGGTGTCTCTTTCCCTATACGAGCCAGTCAACTTTGATTAAATTCAGCTAAGGTTAATCCCCAATGGAACAGATGGATGGTAACTAGCAGTAGAGTCCAACCATATTCAGACAAATCCTTAATGGGACGAAATGCAGTGTCCTGGATTCCACTACTAGTCACAACCATCAATCTATTCGATAATTAATCGGTTGTCAAGAGGAATTAATTATCTAGACGAATTTGAGCGTCAATCAATCAATTATGCTAAGCATTATTGTGTAATAAATTACTCAATTGATTAACCATTTAAGGTATGACGAGAAGCAGTGTTCGTTACTGCAGGGTTTAAAAAATAATATAAACACCTTCCATGAGTAATGAATAAGTAGTGTAGTTGGAGGCAGGCCGCAGGGAGCTCCGCTGAACGTTAACTTATTGAGTGTCAGAATTCAGTAACAAGGCCAATATCTACAATCTCGAAGGAATGGACGTCGATTCGAACATTCTAATCTGAGTCATGTAATGTTACAATCCAGGAAGTTAGCATCAAGTTATTCGGATTGCGACTGATTTCTCGTTGTAAAACAAAATTTACATCACAAATTGATTCTTTAACAACCAATATGACAATATTCTTTCTATAGTGTCAATCGAGTTTTATTAATCTAAGTGTATCAATATTACAATCCGCGCAGTTTTAGTGGTATGCGATAGTTGGAACAGTTGAATGTAGGCTCTGGAACTAGGTTTTATGAGGTAGCTTGTATGGTTGATTACATTGTTCGATTTCTTTCAACCAATTTGCACAAAACAAATAACATTATAATTTTATCTAATTAGTCTAACGATCTAGTTTAAATAGGATTCTATTGTTGGTCAATAGTTTAGTATACAATTAAAGCAAGCAGTGGATAATGACAATGATAACAGTAGATGTGGATCCAACTTTTCAAATCAACATAATTATTAAATGATTAGAGTGAAATTCAATAAATGGATCACTCGTAAAAGCACAGTAGTGAAAAGAGCATATGGTGTGAAAATCAAATCAACGTGAATAATTGTGGTTAATCCGGGAAAACACAGGATAGCAAACACAAGTGTTAAGTAATGTAACTGTGACAAGAGATGAATATCTGATATGATATACACCGAGATTTACACACTGAGAATATGGCAAAAACGGAATCATGAATTGAAGAAAATGATTTACTCGATAAAACAAATCAAGTTAGGAGAGCAACCAGAATGTAAATGACAAGAATAAAACTTAAGTTAGTTATTTATTTTTTGGTTAGAAATGCGGCACAAATTCAACCCGATTAACAAGCGAAATAAATAAACACGCACATATAGTGTATACCTTCACTAACTGATATTTAATCGCATAACTAATGATTTGAGTTTATTTGATGCTGCAATTCCTGCTGTGCAGATATTGTTGTTGTAAGTAATGGATGCGTTTGTGGACCACCTTGATATAAGAAGTTTGAGGGAAATAATAACAAACAGTACAATAGTAATAAGATTGTAATGATTCATTTCAATATTATCGTTCTGAAAAAGGTGATTTTTAGACGAGTAGAAAACTAGACAGTGCAATACTACTATTACAACTACTATTGATGGAGTTTTGTTCTCTGAGCTGGATGGTTTGATCGTGGAGCTTCCAGGGTTATTGTGAACGACATTATCAGCAGAAACTCTATCAAAGTCATCCACCTGAGCCACAAATCTCCACTACTACTACTCAGTGGATTCATCAAAGAATTCGAAGATACATCATTTTATTTATGAATTTTAGTGGTTAGTTTCATCATTCAAAAGTCAATCCAGTTTCTGTTTTAAAACAATCTGGATTTTTTTGACAATTCAGAACCCAGAACAGTTATTGAGTAGCTAGATATTTGAAAATATGAGATACAGTAGCCAATCTAGTGGTCACTACCAGTCTAACATTACAAAGAACAATTTATTTGATTTACTGAAATTATTTAATGGAATCTACCGAGGTGGTGTTAAATCAGAACTACAAAAATAGAAATTTACAAGTCGTGCACTAATAAATAATTATAATTAAGATGAATATGGGGTATTTAGTGATACGCTGGGCCAGTTAAGCTTATCCGCTCAAGGGCAAGTGATAAGTGGGAGACGCTGATGAGCATAGTCTACTGATCGAGATTCAATCCAACTTTCTGAGGAATACATATATGCATATATCGTTCAGCTTAGCTTATAAAAGCTAGGTACTTATTCAAGTAACAGATTGAGCTTGCCTATAGGAAGCTTGTATATCAGTGGGAGAATCAGATGACCATCCAGGAGACTAATTAACTGTT